TTTTCAGTGACTAAATATTTGTAAGTAGTTTGTCTCTCCTTCTTCCTAGTCAGTCTTCCTTCGTCTGGAAGCTCATCTGAAATCTGTCCATCATGGGTAACCCTGCTGATATTTGAAATACTTGTGGCATAGCTTCCAGAATCACAGTAACTCACAAGCCACCACAGTGCGACAAACTGACAGACGAGTCATGAAACAACATATTAGCTAGAGTCTAATGTTTGTTTTGCACTTGTAGCAGATAAAATTAGTGCAGTCAGAAGTCTTTCAATCTTTCTGAAACATGAGGGGGCTTCACAAAAGTTCATGGGAAAATGGAGTTAAAAGATATAGGAATTTTTCCGTGAACCTTTTTAAATCCCCTTATGTAAGAGATTTTTGTTTTTCTAATCATAAAGAAGTCCATGTTTCCATAGAGTGTGGGAATAAGCACACTCAATCATCACTTGTTGACATATTTGGAACCAAAGAGCAGGTTATTCTGGGAAAGTTGGCATTATACACAAATGAATGATGATCACATCAGATCGCAAAATAGAGGATGAATCCATCATTACATGACTGCCAAATTACGTTGTAACAGAATTGCCAAACCATTGAGAATCATGGGTCGATCAGGTTGACACATAACTGTAACTATTACAGCCAGCATTGCTCTTGCCCCTAATTTTGGTGTTCTTACTGGCAGGTGAATGTTGTTAATGTGTAAAATAGTTGGATACTATTAAGGAGTACTGGTAGCATAGTGGTTATGAGTTGGGGTGCTAATCTCAGGGTCAACAGTTTGAAATTATCAGCTGTTCCAAGAAAGAAAGACAAGGCTGTCTGTTCCCGTAAAGATTTACAGCCTCCAAAACTCTATACAGGTTTGCTATGGGTCGGAACTGACTCGATGGCACCTCACAACAACAATAGCAATAAATGAAAGAGACTTTATTAAGTCTTCATTATGTGTTGCCCCTTGTGATAAACAGTTACATGTTACCTAATTATTTTAACAGTGTTTTATGCATGCATGTATGTATTTGTTTATTTATGCTTTAATGATGAATGAGCATGGTAAAAATGCCAGTAGTGAAAAGCAATTTTGTCTCTGAATCCTAATTTCTCAACCATTGCTGCCAGTTTCTTTTCATCCTGCCAGACATAATTAGTTATAACCTCTAATTCTTACCACAATGGTCTGAAAACCAAGTCCGAAACCACTGAGTCAATTCCAACTCAGAGCAACCTGATAAGAAAGAATAGAATTGGCCCAAGGATGTAATGTTTGTGGAATTAGATACTCACTCCTTTTTCCCACAGAGCACCTGGTGTGTTTGAACCACCCACTGACCTTTCAGTTCACAGCTGAGTGTTGAACCTTTGCCCCACCAGGGTTCTTACAGGAATGTTATTATCACTGTCATTTCATAAAAAAGAAAACTCATTCATCAGCAGATTTTATTTGATTTCCCATTGCCTTTTAGCCAGTTAATAGAGAAGCTGAGTTTTGAATCAGTTATGGCTCTAAATCTAGAGCCCATGGCCTGTTAAATACCCTGCCTTTGCCCACCTCGATGCCTTGTTTGCTTTCACGGAGGATCCAGTGATAGCCATCCAGAAACACTCGTCATTTGTTATTTGTTGCTGCTATTAAGTGCCGTGGAGTTGGTTCCAATTCATAGTGACCCTGAATAAGATTTCTAAGGAGTATCTAGTGGATTTGAACCACTAACCTTCTGATTAGTAGTCTAGTGCTTATCCTATGGTACTATACCAGGACTCCTCAGCAGTTATTGTTGTCGATGTTGTTAAATGCCGTTGAGTCGGATCCGATCCATAGTGACCCTGTATAGGGTTTCTGAGGAGCAGCTGGTAAGCTTGAATTGCTGACCTTGCAGTTCAAACGGTTTTACAGTCTGGTGCATTAACCCACAGTGCCACACCAGGACACCCAGCAGTCATTACTGGACAGAAATTTTTATCCGTTTTATGAACTCCCCTTTATCTGTTTTTCCCTGTAGCCACTCACTGGTGAGGTCCTGGCTGATAGTGTCTGATCCACAAGAATTATAAATGATCCAGGAATGAAGGAATTAGTATCAGACCTAGATCTATTTCTCAAATAACCTATTGTTTATACACTTTTATTCTGTTATCTGGTTTCAGAATCTGTGAACCCACAAGAACATTAATATCATTTGTTTCTACAAACAACCTTATGCTGGTTACTTTTAAATCTCCTTATATACGGAGGCTATCAGGAATCCGTGCATATTTTGAGGTCATTCCAGAACAAAGTAAGTGTCCCCCAATTTTGAAAAGTCAACTTCAGAAATATTTGTTATGACACTCTAGTCTTATCTTTCCTGATACTGTGCTGTCATACTAGTTGTATTAGTCACAAGCTCTGATGCAGGATCCAGTCAGAGGAGAGAGATCATATCAGTTATTTCACCAGAAAGAAGTTGATATGAATAACTTTCAGTATAAAATTGCTTAAGGGTAACTGAAAAGGCAAAACATGCCAAAAGAGAACTGTTAGGCATCTGGGATGCAAAATATATAGAAAACAATGATCACTCCTAGGGTAGGGGGAACAAGAGAGAGAGGTTGGAATTATGAACTTGGAGAGCTGATGGAAGGGTCTGTGTAAGATAAAGCCAAACCTTTCAGGAATGGTTGCTGCTCAGCAGGGGCTGGCATCTCTGAGTTCAGAGAGGAGCCCACCATCGTGGGTATGACTTCTGAGGAGGGTATGCCAGACAGCTAAGGCTGTCATCTTTTCCATCCAGTTGATTGTGACTCATGGCTACCTCATGTGTCACAGTAAAACTGTACTCCATAGGATTTCCAATGGCTTGTTTTTCGTAAGTAGATCTCTTGCCCTTTTTTCTGAGGAACGTCTGTGTGTACACAAACTACCAACTTTTCTGTTGGCAGTCCAGCTTGTTAAGCAATTGCACGACACAGGTACTCTGATATCTTTGAGAGAGATGAAATAAAGTGAAAATTGGACAAACTGCTAACTGGATTCAACTCTGCTATAGGAGGGAAGTGTACTGTAAGGTGGAGAAATGTTGCTGGGCTGGTAATTTCAAGAACAGGAAACAGACAGGAAGCTACTTTCCCTCCTCCAGCCTTCTACTCTCCCTTTAGCGCCCCCTGTTGGCAGAGTCTAAAAGGAAGCCAGGTGGCAGAGGAGAGATGTAGTCTGTAGAATTACAGAACAGAGTGGAGAAGGTTGGGGCTTGGAGATGAGAGACAATAGCTCAAAACTTGGCACACTAGACTTTCTTGAATTCTAATTTATAGTAACACATGTGAGTTTTATCCTAGAAAGATCTTGGTGAAGCAAAACACACTTCAGCACTGTGTTTTTCCAAGAATTTCCTGCAAGTAGGGACTAAGAGAACTCATGAAGATTAAGGTTTCTTCCCTAGATCAGACACAGAGCAGAGAGAGACTTTCCTCTCCTTCTTCTCTTTTGGATTTACCTTCATGAAGAAAAACAGCACAACACAAAACAAAACAGAAAGATTTCACAAAAACCTATCTTTCTGTAATATTTGATGCCTTGTGACTGGTCTAATCTTGGACGATTCTTAATGAGCCTCAACAAAGACAGTGAAGTCAGGATGGGAAATAGAGTGAGACAGGGAGAGGATTTGGCTTAAGTGAAAATGATGGTAACTGTACGTTCATCTGCATTTTAGGGCAGTGACTCAGTTCTATAGGTTTTCTCCTTCCGATTATTAGAAAGTCAAATACAAATTTGATGATTGAAAAAAATTGAACTAGATATCTGCAATGCACCTGTGTATAAGTCATCTCTAACTCTACAGGTTAAATATGACTATCTCTGATATATTGCAGTACAATCTGTCCACTTATTGAATGAACATCTACTATATATGTCAGCAATGATCTCAGATGTTGAGGAAATAATAGTAGTAAACAAAGTTGGAAAAAATCACTCTTCTCAAAGAATTCACCTTCGAGCAGAATGATGACCATATCAGTAAGAAGAGATATTTAGGCTGTCTTTTAAAAAAACAGAACAACATGCTTTATATCTAGGCGCATTTCTTCAACAACAAATATGCCCATATTGAGAAAAGTAAGCTGAGATTTTTTTTTTTTTAATTTTTAACATTTGATTTTCAAAGGGATAACACCCTACAGATATATTGTCAAAATATATCATTTGAAAACAAACCTAGAATTTGAGAAAAAGTCTTAACTATACATTTGTAGGATGCTTACCTTAGTTACCTGAACTGGAAAAAACAAAACAAAAACAAAACCTGCAAGTGGTGGGCTATAAAGACCAAAAATTGATTGTCTCAACCCCCCTCCAAGACTGAAACTCAAAGGGAACACATTAGCAGACATGTAAGCTTGCTGGCAGCCACGTTGGTCTGTTGGTGAGTGGAAGAGGGGGGAAGGCAGCAATGAAGATATGGGCTGTGTTCAACCACATTCCATAAACCCCTGCCTACCTGAAGATGAAAGAGAGAAAAGGAGGGCCTGGTTGGTCCCAAGTGTGGTGAGACCTGGGGACTCCTGAGCTCATGGACAGGGACCTGGCCATGGAGGGCTAGAGCTGAGAGTGAAGTGTCCAGCTAATGTTAAGTGAGGGGAGATGTGCAAGAATGCCCAAACTTGCAGATAGTACCCATTTTACGTGGCTTTAATGGCTTGATGATTAGAAATCTGCTAGAGGAGAATAAAGAGATTTGATAAGGGAAACAAGTATAAATTGCTACCGTTTGATGAACTTGATCTATACTTATGGATGTGGCAGCTCAAGGTGTCAACTGAGAGGGAAGGAGTCTTCACATCAAGGATTGGGCCTGTTCCCTCTATATACAGGGTTGATGAGAATGGGCAGCTTAGACATTGGTTATCTAAAATGGTGGGCTAAGGGTGGGCAGGATGAAGGCACAAAGAAGTGGTTAGCTTGCAAGTTTTCAAGACGGAGTTTAGTTTCAGAGCATGCAGGGAAAGGTAGAATTCCCACTGAATAATTTCCATTTTGTCTAGATGAGTCTGGTGAAAGGAGATGGAGAAAAGATTCTTATGATTCAATAGTGAGTAATTGTTATTATGACTAATTGCTATTGCCACAACTGTAAAAGTAGAAGTTTGGGAACATAAAGGGGGGAGTAGTTAATCTTGCATTCCAGGAACAGAGGACATAAGGGAGAAGAGCATGAGCAGAATGTGGGATCCTATCTAGAGAAGCAGTGGCACCAGAGATGGAGGCAGAGATGAGGACATGGAGAGATAGAGCAGCTGAGGACTCTAGACTCATGGAAAGAGAAAGGCTGTATGCTGGCGGCCAGGTGGCTGACTTGCAGAATGTGCCCTTTGGTTGTTTAAATGATTAAATGATTATATATTCCTGAGTGTTTTTGTGTACATCAAAACAAACAAACAAACAAAAAAAATGAGAGGGAATAGAAGCACATACTATTAAATGATGATGCATGGAGGGGATTGTAATCATTATAAGGAAATGAAATACGATAGGATGAGTGCAAAACTAATGTTCTCCCATGTAAACTACCACTTCAATTCACAATAAAAGCTTTAAAAAAAGGTTGTTTTCACAATTCTTGGAGCTAGAATTCCAAATCAGGGGATTGACTATAATGGAAAGGACTTCCCCATCTTAGCTGTTTTTAAGTGCCATTGAATTGGTTACTTGGGATTCTGTATAGGGTTTCCGAGGAACGGCTGGCGGGTTTGAACCACTGACCTTGTGGTTAGTGGTTACAGTGGTTACAGACTAGTTATACATTCAATAGCCTCCAGCATTCTTTAGCATTCCTTACCTGGGATAGTCCTATAGGATAAACACTGGACTGCTAATCACAAGGTCAGAAGTTCAAACCTACTAGCTACTCCTCAGAAACCCTATACAGGATTACTATGAGTAACAACTGACTCCACGGCACTTTACAATTTGTAGATGGTTCCTCACATCATTTCTTCCCTATTTGTGTGCATCTGTCTATTCTGTATTTTTTTAAAAGACACCAGAGAGAAGGAATTCAGTTTTAAGACCCACTTTTGTGTGGCATGGCAGGATAAGCACTAGACTGCTACCAGCAAGGTCAATAGCTCAGGCCCACCAGCCACTCTCGAAAATCCTATACAAGATAGCTATGAGTCAGAACTGACTCGATGGCATATAACAACTACTACTGCTTGTATGTGACACTATGAACACAACAAAGCCATATTTCCAAATAGGGCTGTATTGACAAATACAGGGATTATGACTTCAACATATACTTTGAGGCGACACAATGTAATCTATAACAGTGCTATTCCTTTCTTTAAAAGAAACTAGTTTAAAGTATATATGTATATATATGAATAGTGTTGTTGTTGTTGTGATGTGCCGTGGAGTCAGTTCTGACTCATAGCGACCCTGTACAGGGCTTCCGAGGCTGTAAATCTTTACAGGAGCAGAACGCCTCATCTTTCTCCCGCGGAACAGCTGGTAGTTTCGAACTGCTGACCTTGCAGTTCGCAGCCCGATTCGTAACCACTACGCTACCAGAGAATAGTGTTGGTGGTGGTTATATGCCGTGGAGTCGGGTTCCAACTAATAGAGACCCTGCATAGGATTTCCGAGGCTGTAAATTTTTACGGGAGCAGAAAACCTCATCTTTCTCCCATGGAACTGCTGGTAATTTCAAACTGTTGACCATGAGGTTAGCAGCCCGACTCGTAACCACTACGCTATGTTCAATTTGTAGCTGAAGATATGTATGTGGTGTATTTGCTATCATCTCACAACTGTATGTTACTGGAATTTTTTTTTTTTTCAGAATGTGAAAACGCTGTGTTGGTCAAAGAAACCAATGGTTTTGAAGGGAAAATTTCAAGTCCATATTATCCAAGTCACTACCCTCCGAAATGCAAATGTACCTGGAAATTTCAGGTAGCTGAGTTTTACATGTATTTTACAAAAATATTATTTAATTTTAAATAAGAATGCATTTTAAATTTTTATTATTTTGCTTTTTGATTACAAAAAGTATTAGTTAATTTTACAGAATTTAAACTTTATTAAAATGTTGTCTAAAACATTAATGTTTCCTATAATTTCAACACTCTTCCCACAAATTTATTTCTCTTAGCAGTCTGGAGTCAATTTCCCAATTTATTATTTTAGTTTATTTTATATTTGAAAATGAAAAAAACATTGTTTAAGAGAAAAAATAATTTAAACTTCACTTAAATTTTTTTTTTTTTAACTTTTTACTGTGAATTGAGTGAAGATTTACAGACTAGTTATACAATCAACAAATAGTACACTGTTTCATCTCAATGATTGCAATCCCCTCCATGGAACAACAGTTATCCCACTTCCTCACTGTTGCTCCCATCTCTATCCCACCCATCTTTCCATCCCTTCTCACCTTTGTCCTTAGGTACATGCTGCCCC